GTTGACCTTGTTTATTGTTGCTGGGACCAGTCTTCTTCCGTGGTTGGCTGCGGCGTTGAATCCTGCGGTTTGGTTGTCACTGGTGGACGCTGCTTCCCTCCTATTCTCCCCAATGTTGCTGGAGTGGGACCAGCAACAATAAACAAGGTCAACGAAGCAGCGAGTTTAAACATACACCACCAGGTAACCACCGGAGACGAAGAAGACATCACATTAGGTACGGCTATGATTAAGTTTATTAACAAATCAGGGTTAGAAATTAAGGCTAGGGCACTCTGCGACAATGGTTCGCAAGTTAATTTAATTTCCCAAACCATTGTCAATCAACTAGAAGAGAAACCGTTTCCCGAACGCACAAATTTCATAGGCGTAGGGGGAAACACGTTAGGAACATCTCTCGGGGAAATCATGTTGCCAATAAGGTTAAGGAATGGCGATGTTTTATTTAATAAGTTTTATGTAGTTAAGAATATTACCCATTATGCTCCGCAAGCCATCGGTCGGAAATGGAATGAATTATCAGATAGATTGGCGGATGAAAACTATGACCGACCAGGGAAAATTCACGCACTACTGGGAGCAGGAATCTGGATCCGGATAATTGAACCAGAGGTTATAACCTCCAAGGATCGGTTGTCAATCGCACATGGTTCCAAACTGGGCTATATTATCTTCGGAACCAAGATGAATTCAGCGAAAAGCGTTCATCCGTATATTGGCTCCATCAGTAAGGGAGAGTCACATCAAAGGCTCATGGATCAGATACAACGACTTTGGGAAGTAGAAGAACTTCCGCAAAATACTAAACGCACTCCGGAAGAAGAGTTATGCGAAAAAATCTTCAGTCAACAACATTCCAGGAATCAAAACGGCAGATATATCGTGAGAATACCGTTCAACGAAAAACTAAGAGACTTAGGAAAGTCCAAGAAACAAGCATTGCACCAATTCTTTGCAATGGAGGGAAGGATGAAAAGGAATCCTGAGTTCGCAGCCAGATACAAGGCCTTCATGAGTGAGTACGAGACACTTGGACATATGGAGGAAATCTGGGACAAACAGGAATCAGGCTACTATACCCCGCATCATGGAGTTATTTCAGCGGCAAAATTTAGAGTTGTGTTCAACGCATCGGCCAAAACTACAACGGGAATCTCCCTGAACGAGACGCAGCTGATTGGAGAAAAGCTGCAACGCGACTTGTTTTTCATTTTATTAAACTTTCGTAGGTACAGGTACGGAGTCACCGCTGATATTGAAAAGATGTACCGACAGGTGTTGATACATCCAGACGACCGCAAGTACCAGAAAATTCTATGGCGAGCAAATGAATCGGAGCCCATTAGAACGTTTCGACTGAAAACTGTTACTTACGGGCAGACGTGCGCACCCCACTGTGCTATTAGAACTCTGATTCAATGTGCAGAAGATAACGTGACACGCTTCCCCATGGGGGCCAGCATTGTAAAACAATGCTTCTACGTAGATGATTTGTTGACTGGAGCAGATGACTTGAGCGGAATCAACAACATTAAAACCGAAATCACCGTGTTACTACAGGAGGGTGGATTTCCGATAACCAAATGGAAAACGAACGGTGAATTTTATGAGAACGTTGAATTAAAAAATCAAGAAGGAGAATCTGTTCTCGGATTGTTCTGGAGCCTACATAATGACACATTTTTCTATAAACTGAGAGAAGAAAAAATCAAGTCAAATTGGATTTGGACGAAACGAAAAATCCTCTCAAAAATTGGTCAAATGTATGACCCAAATGGATTTTTAGGTCCAATCGTGATGAGAGGTAAAATGATGATCCAAGATTTATGGCGGGATAAATTAGACTGGGATGAGGAAATAACCGGTTCGATGAAGGAGAAATGGGAAAAGTTCAACGCCGATTTGACCAACATCAAATTTATCTCTATCAGCAGGTGGTTAGGTACGCAGGGAACATCCAACTTACAATTGCATGGTTTCTGCGACGCCTCGGAAAAGGGCTATGGAGCCGTTCTTTACGCAAGAACAAAATTCAACGGGAAATATAGAATTGAACTTGTGGCATCGAAATCAAGAGTGGCTCCATTGAAGGCCACTACTATTCCACGATTGGAACTATGTGCAGCAAGTTTATTGGTAAACTTGATTGAGGTAATTCAACCAATGTTTGAAACCAACGAAGTTGAAATTCTGTGCTGGACTGATTCACAGATCGTTTTGCACTGGTTAGCAAAATCTTCAATTTCATTGAAGACTTATGTTGCAAATAGGGTATCCAACATTCAAACCAAAAACGAGAAATTTGGTTTAAAATGGAGTTGGATTTCAGGGCAGCAAAATCCAGCAGATTTAATTTCAAGGGGAAC